GAACTGACATCTGACATATGGAGTCACTTGTGTTTGTGTTTAACGTATAGTAAAGCATCTTATCTCAGCCCTAAAAGCTCAATGTTGTTAGTGGATTGAGATGTTATACGTCTGGGATAAATCAGGAGCCATGTAGAACCAGGCGCAATTATTTATAACTCAGACAAAATTAGGTTTCTTTCTCTGAAAATGGCGATTCTCCACAAGCTAATCTGAGGCAATAACTTTGCACTGCTAGGTCATTAAGCATTACATAGGACACAGCCATATATTTGACATTTTAGCCTTTTGTCTATTGTCATTATTAACTCTATTTATGCTTTTGTGCATCCTCAGAGGAGACGCAGAGCCCCTTGCTGCCGGTGAACACCAGCCAGCAGGAGTACTGTATAACCAGCGATGGAGACGTGCTGCTGGCCGGGGACTCCTGGAAGGCCAACGCCTGCACCAGCTGCACCTGCAACAACGGCACCATTCAGTGTTTCTCTCAGCACTGTCCCGCTGCCAACTGCAGGGTGCCTGTGTTACGCAAGGGCCAGTGCTGCCCACACTGTCTCGGTGAGTATTTAGGTGTGTTTCATTAAAGAGTCTTTGTTTCAGCCCACTAAAAATAAACATAATTTTGATTTCTTAAGGTAGTTTATGTAAGACTTCCACAAACTTAAAATGTTGTGCAATTCCAACCAGCCTTTTCTTTTACAATAAGTGGTACCACTTTAACAAGGCACAGCCTGCTGTTAGGAAAGTTATAATTCAAAATGCTACATGTCAAAAAGAGGGTGTAACTGAGGCAATGCCTGTTTCCAGACTGAATGTGTATGTGTTTGTTCGTTAGACACAGCCACTCTGGCGCTGCATGGGCAAACGCCATCATTCGCAACAACATTCCATGTGACATACACACACGGTCCATTCCAAGCAAAAACATTCCTCGGGCATCCGCACATTCACACGTGTTTCCTGTCCCCGGCTGAATCGGCCCGCGACACTCTCTCTGTGGCGGCACAGGAAGGCAAAGCTCCATGTCAGCTTTTCCTATAGAGGAAAACCTCGGCATAGGCTCCCATTGTTCAGCCTGATGTGGCCGTTTCTCTGCCCTTTGTTTTTGTTATTCACCCTGGTGGAAAACAGAGCTTTTTACGTAATGCCTCCACAAAGAGGTACAGTGGAAGTTAAGGGGACAATTCATATAAACACAGCTTATCAGTGAGACACCGGGGAGTTTATACACTCACGCGCAGTTGGAAATGTTTGTCTAGAATGTTAGCGGCAATATTATTAATGGTTTTACTCCTTAACAGAAGCTACAACGTCAGTTCCTGTGATGTTGTCCACCAATGGCCCGAAGACAACAACCCCTACTACAGTGGAGAGTAGAGTGTGGATAACCACTGTCACTGTGCCACCCATCATTGCTTATACAGGTACCTGCTCATTGGATAACTCCACACTCCCTCCTCTGTATATTCCTTTTGATACACTGTGTAGTTGTAACCATATCCTAGTTATTGGTGCCATTGTTTGTACTCTCCCTGCACATATTTATGTTAATAAAGGGTGTTTGAGATGCCTTGATAAATGAGTGTAAATTATAGATTTCATAATTGTGCTTTGATGCTGAAATAAAACACTCGGGACAAATGGACATTGGCTAAACATGAGACACCAAGTGTTCATTTTTCATTGTTAGGTAATGAGCAGGGATTTTAGCCAAAGACATAATCTGTTCCCAATTTCAATTTTGTAATTTGTCCCACAGATGAGCCAGTTTTGGGCGAGAACTACCCCAGCCAAACAGAGATGGCTGTCATCTACCAATCAGCAGCCTGGATTCTTGCAGGTCTCCTCCTCGCCATCATCATCTTCCTCGTGGTGGCGTTACTCATCAACAAGAAAAAGAAGTGGGTGCAGATGTCCTGCTACAGTGCACCGAAGAAGGTGAGAAGTTTATCAGTCGATCACATAAATCGGCTTGTTTTGAAGGCTTAAAATGGTGCTAAATTACACAGGCTCCCTCGTTTAAATAACATTGTTAATGTGCGGATGGGTCACAGGGAGTTTTCCTGTGATCTTCCAGCTTCTGCTACAACTAGTGCTAAAGCTGTCATGACATCTAGGATTAATGTATTTTCCCCTCGCGCTGTACCTTAAAGTGGAACACGGTCATGTCATCATAAAATCTACGACTCTACCATGAAATTTGACAAATTTCGATTTTCTGACACAGAGAGTATAAGAGATGTATGAGAGTCATTCTAGGTTTAAAGGGGCCCCGATATGCTTATTTTCAGGTTTCAAAATGTGTATTTTGTGACTCTACTGTGTTTACATACTTTAATGTTCAAAAAGGTCTTTGTGTTTCTAATACTGCATGAGCCCAGTGTGCTCTGATTGGTTAGCTGGCCAGCTCTGTTGTGATTGATCATTCGCTTAGAAATGTCCCGTACAATGTGTTGAAGCGCTAGCCAATAGAAGAGGCGAGTGTAATGTAGTGATGTCACTATGTCGCAGAGTTAAACAAAGGTGGGGGGGAAAGAAACTCCCTCTGGAGGGAATTTGGGGATTTTAACCTCTGCAGACCTTTTATAAACTACACACGACAGGGAAGGGTAAACCCCAAAAACTAAAAGGGCCCCTTTTAAACTATACAGAGATTAAATTCATCCATGATGGAGTCAATAAATGGAAATTCTATAAACTTAAACTAGTACATTTTCAAGAAATAACTCAGAAATTCACAAGTTAAATTCTGTGTAAAAAAGTAGTATTTTGGCAGTAGAACAGCTTTGAAAGGTTGGGCAACTCTTACAATGTCCCTTAACTACGTCATACAGGAGCCATTTCATGCAAGTCGACAAAAATGAGTACATTTTCATCTAGCTGTTAAGACCTGAATGATATCTTCAAACTAACAAGGGATTATGTTCTTTCACCTTTTTCTGCTAAGACGGTGATCCTCAAGAAGCACGTCAACAAGAACTCAGTGGTCTACATGGAGCCCTCCAAGGAGAACAAGTTTCAGAATGTGAAGAACGACTGCGGAATCATCCACTTCTCTCCAGAAATGAGCTCCACCTGTGGGGACAAGATGACCATCCCCAGGGCCAAGCTGAGCAACGACTGGCGCTAAAAGACAAAGAAACACCTCTGAAACTCTGCAGATCAGAGCTGCCCGACACCTCCCACTCTCTCTTACTGCTGTTTCCATGGTGATGAGTGCAACAGTGCACACACACCTTGGGTGCCGCCGCCGCCGCCGCCTTGTCTTTCCACCCTTTTGTCTGTGAAACTGAGGACGCTCTACAAGAGACAAAGCAAGTGACCTATGCTTCTTTTCAATTTGTGTCCATATTCTTCTGTGTTTGGATCGTTGTGGTGGAGTGGGATGCTGGGAGGTGGATGGACGGATGGACATATGATGGACATATAAAGGACACAGCCACTCCGGGCTTTAAAACAGAGAGGCAGCCAGAGGCTCCTCCCTCACAATCAGACTTTGACTGTGAACATTGTAATACTAATGCTTATTATTGCCTCCTTAGAAACTGAAACTCTGAGGCAATAAGAGGAGCATTAAAAAGCTTTAGGAGAGGGGCTTGGGCTGTAGTTAAAAGGAAGGTTTTCGAGGATGATGCCCCCCCCAGCAGTGCTTCATGGATGTAATAATTTTCCTCAGCAGGGAGGCCAAAGGAACTGATAATCCAGTTGGATCAAATTGGGTTCAGCAGCCAAATCATAAAGTCAACAGGCTTTATATAGACCCACAGATCCAAACCCCCTGCTTTACAATGTGTGGTTTCCATCTTAGTTTTTGTATATTTCTACAGTATTTGTACTAGTTTTAGTGTTGTTCTTGGCCACCTCTCGTTTTTATTATGGGTGTCTCGGCGGGGCCAGATTGAAACATTTCGAAGATGCCAGTCTAAACATTCCTGTGATCAATGTCAGGAGGGACACGCTTCCAAAATAATAGCCTTTGTTTCTACCTTCGTATGACCCGAGTCATTCCATTCATAAAGCTACAAACCACAGTTCTCAGAAAGGGAATTTGTGAACTCCTTCTGCAAAACGTGTCTGCAATACGGTAGCAAGTCGCCTTCACCTTTCCACTTTGTCTCATCCAGAAGGACTCAGTCGTACTTCGTCATTATTAAAATTGCAAAGTGTAATGATGTTCATCCAGGAAGAATGTCATTTTATTGAGTGAATAGCGGTGCCAGACGCTTCATCTGGACCTATGAGGAATGTCTTTGATATCATGCCTCGCTTCATAACCTCCTTCACAGCTGTGTGGAGCTTCTGCTCACACCGAATGTTAGTGATGATTCATTTTAAAGCCTTAATTCTATAGCCTTAATGCATATCTCATTTAATTTAATTACTGTATAAACCCATATCCAGGAACTTAAAAACGGTAATATATTCACCCATTATTAAGATGAGCAGATATTGTTGTACAGCGTCACAGGTGATTCCCATCATCTTCAAATACAAGTGAATTATGTGATGTGGAAGAGTGTAAGCGGAGCTCTCTAGTAACGCTACCCAAGGGTACACATTACAGAGCGTTTTAAAGAGACGTAGCACTTTCTTTGGAGCCAGTGTTTCTTTTCTTTTTTTAGAAAGCTCCCTGCTGGATTCTTGTAGGGATAAAATTCCTAATCAGGGATTTGATAGGCATATTAAGCCCTCGGAGATGTTAAACCACTCAAGTGAACACGCTGTTGCAGCTACTGGCTCTGTACCAATGTGATCAGAACGGGGAGAGGATAGAAACTGAGAAGCATTACGAAAACAAACCTGGGTTTCATAGGAAAAGGTTTTGGATCAGAGTTCTCAATCCTTTGCCAATTTCTCAATACAAAGACCTTTCTGATGCCAATTTATATTGAAGTGTTTTAGTAACTCGGTAGATTTGTGTCTGTTTGAATCATGACCATGTGCTTTAAAAAGAAGAGGTGACTGTAAAAGCTTACGCAATTCTTTGTTCTTCTATGTGTAAAAAAAAAAAAAAAAGTAGTTTAAATTAGTAGGACAGAAGAGTACCTTATTTATTTTTTCACATAGCTTTATTTATTAATACTAAACTATAGTTTGAGATTGTCTTTTTTTTTTTGGAAAATGAACTTTTGGTAGCCAAAGCTGCTGTACATTGTAGACTATTTACCATTTCTATCTGCTATATTCTATACAACCTTATTTATTTCACTGTTGCAAAACCTGTAAATATGTTTCCTAGATGAACTGTAACATTTACACTTATTTCGAAAAATAAAAGTGTGAACCAAAGTGTCCCGTGCAAATGACATTTAGAGGAACGATGCCAGTGCAGTGTTGTCATTCAAGATGGTATCTGTTAGTGGTTCTTAACCTCACTCACATTCACATCTGGTGCTCGAGTTCTGTCCCAAATGGCTTTAAATCTGATCGTTCTCTCCTGCTCTCTTATCTCAGTGGCATTTGCAGATGTGTTTAGTCGCGGTAGGTTGTTTCTGAGGGGGGTCCTTTGAGATTTTAATGCAAGCGAAAAAGCAAGTAGCCCTCTCATCTATCCAATGAGCTAATAAAAGCCCGGAAAAGACATTCAGGCCTGGAAACCTGTATAATCCTCCGCAGACTGTGCTGTTGTTTTGACTTGTCCGTCTAAGCTTGCTCATAAACTTCAAGGTGAGGAAGCTTCTCCGGAAGGATCAATAAAGTAAATATTAGGGTCAGTTTCCCAGGCCTTGAATATGTCAAATATGCAACACAAAGCCTTCAAACTCCACTAAAAACTCCCCAAACATGCCCGACGTGTCTCAACTGAGCAATAACTGAGTTCATAGCAACAACAAGGTTAAGCATTAGCTTATGAGGTATTACTCAGTATGCAGGTAGTCAATAATGAGGCTGCATTTTGTTGTACTCAGATGTGTAATTAAAATAGACACAATATCAGCTCTGTGGGAAAAGGTCATTTATTCCTACTATTCAAATTGTTGCTGATTAGAAAAAGTGAAATTGTTCCCTTCATGGCACAATTTTCAGTAGAAATCCATCTTTCAACTTCTAGAATTCTATTAAGGCAATAGAGTCAAGACTCTATCTGAGAACATCTACAAAACACTGGAAAGTTAACGATTTTGAATTACCATTCAACATGGTAAACATGGTGTCTTTGGGGCTCGCGCTTTCTAAGAAGGAAAGCTACAAGTCCATCATGAAACAAGTTCTGTAGGTCCTGATGCAAAGTCTCTGGGAGTCTGAAGCACAGCAGGTCAGGGAGCTTGAGTCTTGGTTTTCAGAGAAGGATCTTGTAGTAGTCGTCTTTGTAGCTGTACAAGACCACCACAGCCAGCCTGAAACAGGACAACATCCGTCAGTTATTGATTCAAAAGGATATTAAAACAACACAAATGGGACATCAAAAAATAAGGACAATGAAATTCAACCGGGTAGGTTTCCACATATTAGGTTTCCACGTATTAGATTCCTAGATGAAGAGATCAGTCAGTTTAAATAAACACAGGATTCAACTCTGCTATGTCCAGGGTAAAAGTACCAATTACTGTTATTTCCATTAGTTGGCGCTGTCATTGTTAGCTCAAGCATGGCTGTGCCTGTGAACACCTTATATGGCTGAAGATGTGTAAAAACAGCACTGGAGATACAGATCGTACATGCCAGCAGTGGTTTTAGCTAGAACTAAATCTCAGTGAGCCCTTGGGATAAGTTTACTTTATGATCTTGCGGCTGCCAGGTGACTGGATGAGCCTTTCAGCCCACTCATCTGGCCTTGGTTGCCTGTGCCCCACATTCATTGAAAACAACAAACAAGCCGATGAATATATCCATTGTTGCCTCTATGACGTGTATTTATCACCAGAGTCTTTTCCCCCACTAAATGGCAAATCAAACACACAGCAGGGACAGGAAATGAAAACCAACTGCTCTGGAGAGGCGGACGGCAAGGCAGAAAGAGAAGCTCTTTTTTTTTTTTGTTAGCATCTCATTCATGAAAGAGAAAATCCTCTGAATCCCTCACAGGGTTGCTCTCTATGGGCATTCACCAGCGTCACAAGGAACTCAAACACTGGGGATTTAGCCTGGGCTTTGAAAAAAAACATCGTTCTGCTGGGAAGCTGGGGAACATTAAGCGCTACATCCACAACCGCAGCAATTGGTGAAGTTAACCGCCCCCCTCCCCCTTGTGCTCAAATCTCTCTGTCAATCAACCTGGGTGTTAAGAGACACACCTCAGAAGACCAAACAAGGCAAATCCTTCTCCAGATTCCACCTCAGGAAACGGGCTCAGCAGAGGATTTGATATTCTGCAAGGCAGTAGTTATCCGTATTACAGTTCCCTTTGAAGGACTGTCACTGTTACACCTGGAGTGTGTGGGCTTGCTCCCAGCTTTGGGGGCGGGGCGGGGGATTGGATTCTTATCCTTTCTCAAATATAGAAACCTAAATCTTGAACATTTCCATTTAAATGAAAATGTCTGTTAAGTCTCTTTCTATCATGGAATGAGGCAACACAATTGTGAGGAGCCTATTGCCCACAAATGAAACCCCTTGCGTTGGCCGTATTAAGAACTACGTAACTGGCAACATTTCCAAGAAAAAACAAAGCAACCATTCCAGGAAACTGAGATCCCCAAAACATCTCTGCAACTTTGAGAATGTTACATTAAAATAGTTTTCTTATTACAACACATTGTCCTGCCTTATTTATTTCTTCAAGTATTTCTGGTTGTGTCAGTCCAGCACTTTGGCCCTATTTGAAATATCTCAACACCAATTAGAGTGATTCCCTACCTACCACTAGCGCCAGCAGCGGGCTAACATTTAGTTTTTAAGTCAAATGTCTCAACAACTTTTGTATAGATTCTCATTAAATCTGTTATACACATCAGCAGGGCCTAGACGACAATGATAAAAACTTCGGGGAACGTTTCCTTTTCCTTCACCGCAAATAATGATGTAAAAGTTTCACTTATCCGGTGAATTATCTCAGCATCTACTAGTTGGATCAGCACAATCTTCTGTACATACTCATGGTCAATAAAGAATGAATATATTTGACTTTCTTTACAATGTAGGTGATATAGCAAGCTATGTCTGGGAACAACAATAGATAGGAACTATTAAGATCTGCAACAAGTTGGTTTTTCTTTGCTGATAACAACACAAAAAACTAACTTTTTGGTCATTTTGAAATGGTGGATCTCATCGCAGATGGACTTCAGGTAGCGCTGCTTGGGTAGACGAGACAGCAGAGTCTTCACGCTGCTGTTGAACTGCTCTTCGCTATCAAACTGGAAAGAAAGAAAGTAGAGAGCATGTGTGAATGCAAGAAATTAGCAAGCAGTGAAGGCAAGAAGTGTGACAAGAAATGCAGAGGCCGAATTCAGTGCATCAAACAAAGCCTGGTCGAGGTTAGTTTACTATGTCAACACTGTTCAGAGTATCCAACACAACAGCTCACAAGGTGTCAGTTCCCTTTATGTTTGTTAAGAGAAAAGTAAACTGCATTTTAGAGGAATAAATGGGCTTTTTCTTCTGCAGCCTTGGAGTATATTTGTTCAAGTCAAGTGTAGCTGCAGTGGGTTTATAGATTTCCTCTGCTTTGTGTGTGACTCGGGGTCATTTGCCGTATTTAAAGCAGGCCTTTCCTGCACGCCTGGCTATACCCACTGTGTATTGTCACCCGTTTTATATACTAAAGTGTTTTCTTTGACACATGTGCTTGCGAAGCGGGCCAACTGTATAGGTGGCCCATTCATTTCTGCAGTGGAGGCTTTTGCTTATATAGAGGGGTGGTGTAAAGTGCGTTCTTCAGACGTCTTCATGTTACTTAGCACAATATAATTTAAGACTTTTAAAAACCTCTGCTCTTAGGAACCAGGGTTTCTTTATGAGTGCCGCTTTGGTCAGGAGTTTGGAATGTGAATTGTAACACCTCTTAAGTATGCATTTTCTTAACTGTATGTGTCTGTACCATATGTGAGCCTTGTTAAAGGAATGAACGTCTTTGGCAGAGTTCCCTGGCTGTGGAAAAAGGCCGGGGTGTTCCCTCAGTCCACTCCTCATCGGGCCTGTTAGGAAGGAGACGGGATCCCCACTTCCTGTCTGCGATCTTGACCTCTATTGGCTGTTCTTTCCACCCTCCCTCCCTCCCTCCCTCCCTTCCACCCTTAAGGATGTAGCCTTTTATTAACTCTGCAAAAGGGTCTTGATAAAGCCAAGTATGGAACCTACCTCCAGAGACAGGAAGTTCACCAGCGTTTCCTTGTTCAGGTCCACCTGTGGGACGAAAACAAGCAAAACACAATGGAGCCTTATCTCGTGTTGCAACAGTTCCAGAAATGTTTTTATAATACAGCTAAAAATATCAGCCAATAGCTTGTGCAATTCTTTATAGATAATCCACACCACTTGGGTAAATGTACCCATAATTCCACTTACACAATGCTCTGGCAAGGCCTAAAAAGTACTCGATGTCCCGTTTACAGGAAGAGTCTAATAGCCTCCTGGGATAATCATTGGAAAACGAGTACTTCTGTTTGATAGACAAGCAGGCTACTGACCACAGTGAAGATTTATAGGCCTGTGTAACTCTCTGCTTATGGGAATCAAGGTGATTATGTTTCAATAACTTGTATTTACTGCTGATGAAATCCAGACCCCAATATGGAAGACAAATGAATTGTGTGTAGCTACATTGGTAAAAAGAAAAACAAGCACGTTATGATTTACTTTGAGAATATCAGGCCATACATCTTCAATGCAACCACAAATAAACACAATATGGCAGCCATTTACATCCCCTGAAATGACACGGTGACTGTTTAGTGTTCATTGTTCTGTAGCGACTGGAATGGATTCACAGCCATGTCAACCTCCAGCACGAGGCAAATCACTATAAAAGGGCTGCTCCCAGGGATGTTTGCGATTTTAGCTATCAAAAAGCCCTTTTCGCCGCTCTGTGATTCCACACATGGATTCTAGAGATAAGGGTGGGAGAGCAGAAAAAGGGGGAGCCGGGATAAACGAAGAAATGACTTACTGCCAGAACCTCGATGTCATTGGTTTTGTTCTGTAAATTGCTCGCGAGATTTTGTAATCTGGTTTGGATCTGAAAGAGAGAGTTAGAAAGGAACAAAATAAGAGAAAGAACAAATTGAAAAGGATGAAAGTAAATAGTGGTGGTTCCCATGATCAAAAGAAACCAGGAGGAAAAAGAATACTACTTTTTTTAAATAAGAAAAGTGGGTTGGTTTTCTGTTACAGTTATCGTATTCTTATTGACAAACAATGTGATGTCTTTGTTTATTTCTCTTGCAATGCTTGCTGTTATTATTCCCCATTTGTGAAGCTGTAGAGAAATGACTGGATGAGTGGGTGCGGACATAAACTCGAGTGGTTTAAATGTCAAATATTTGTGAACATTTTTATTGGTAACTAAATCAGAAATCTGGCTCACCAAATCATCGATTTCAGAATGGAAAATAAGGGATCAGAAAAGATGGAAAGAGAAGCGTATGTGTCTGTGCGTGTGTGCGTGTGCGTGTGTGTGTGTGTGTGTGTGTGTCACAAACCTGAGTCTCATAGCGTCGTCTAATATTAGAAGAGACTTTGTCCGGGCTGATGACGTTCACATTCATGTTCATGGGGCCGCTGCTCCCATGCTGTTCTGAGGAGCCTGCAGACAGAAAAAGGACCATTTCCACATTTCATCCAATCAGAAGGCTTTGGTTAAAAACACCTTAAACTCAAATGTACACATTCCAATGACATGACGGTGAAAACTGCCTCGCTAAAGTCTTTCAATTTAATTAAATCCGTTTGTATGCTACCTGTCTGCATGCCAGAAGTTGGTGTGAAATGTAACACTTCTTCTCTTTTTGCACTTATCGTACGTCACTGGGTAACAAATCAGTTACATTCCAGAAGTGTAAATTCAGTAGGATCAGTGCTACTTTACAGTCATACTTTTCCAAGTAGACAGTATAAAAACAGAGGTGTGAATGCTGCAGTAAGGCTATAAGGCTACACATTTTAATTTGTATATATAGAGGCGTTCTGTAAAAACTAAGGGGTGATCAGACCTGTGGTGTTGAGCAGCGATCCTTTAGGGTTCTGAGACATGCTTTCAGACATTTCTCTGCAAGGGGCACAAGGACAACATTATATAAGAACAAACCGCCTTACATCATGCAGACGTCTGAGCAGCGCATTAAACCAAAATGTCTTTACCTGATGTTTCTGTCCTCAAAGAATTTGGTCCGACATTTCTGAATGATGTGGTCCACCAAGTCCGACTCAGGGATCCGTTTCTCAGACTGCCTGTCTTTCTCAAAGGACTTGACCTGGAGACAGACAAATACTTTAGCATGTGCTGCTGTTCAGAACCACTCTATAATTCTCTCTTAAACAAACAGTCGGCTTTTTTTTTTAAATGTAATGTATTCCCGCACAATGCTTTGCTGCACTGTTGGTCTGGTTTACCTTCACATAGTTTCCCTCCTTGTCAGAGACCAGGGCCATGCAGCTGATGCCGGCCAGCCTGCAGTGCTCCATCAACGTCTCCTGAGACTAAACACAAGAGGACCAATGGTCAATTACTCGCACACAGACAATATAGGTGGTGATTTAAGGTTTCATATTATGCTCATTTCCAGGTTCATACTTGTACTTTGAATTTGCATTTGAACATGTTAGATGCTCAGAACACACATTCGTTTTTCCTAAACTGTCTGACTGAATGTACCTGTAATTACCCTCAGGCTTAAATGCTCAGTTTTTAGAGCCTGTCTCTTTAAGAGTACCTCCTGAAAAAGCTGCTCTGATTGGTAAGGGGTTTCTGGGTGTTCTGCATCTGCACCTACGATCTGCACCCCTCACTGAAGGCAGGGATTGACTGTAATGACGTGTAGCCGCACTTATGATTGTACCTATAAATTGTACAACCTAATATGACGTGAAGGACCTGTTCAAAGCCAGTCTCCAAATACAGGCTGTGCGTTTATCTCTTACGAATTAGCCTTTTAATACTACTGTACTTGCTTTGTAATAACAATAAAACAAAAACTCAATCCTGGAATATGCTGCCTTCAATGCCTGCAATCCCTAGAACTAGGAGCACATTAAAAAAAAGAATGGATAGAGAATATTAATTTCACAACATACTGAATATGTGTACCATTCACTTTAACATGTCCTGTTTGGTGGTAATGTTGCTGCTTGAGGATCTAACCTGGAGGGACACAGTTTGGGCTGAGTTAAGAGGGAGCTGTTAACTTAACCATCTGGTCTTAATTGTTATTAACCATACCAGTTTGAGAGAGTTTTCTTCCATTAATTACTAAAAGAATCATGAGTCAAGTTTGTCATTTAAAACCATTTTGAAATCTGGGCTCATTTTGGGGGGAACCCTGGTTCAGAACCTTCTTCTACAGCAGCAAACACTCAGTGTAGGTAGAGTTTTGGTTGAAAGAGTGTGCACTGTGTCGGGAGTCACGACCAATATCAATGTGTGTTCAGGTAATGTGTTCAACCATGACACTCTGTACGTTTGTATGTATTAGCCCAATTGATTACGCCAACTCGCAGCCCGAGAGTTTCATTTGGCTGCTCCACTAGACGAGCCAGTGGTAGTGCAGAACAACCCCTTCTGTGTTAACAAGCGTGTGTGTGTGTCATGTTTGCCTCGTCATCCTGTATGCACTAACACTTCCTCTTTTCTTATAACTTTCACGTTGACAGAACAAATTAAGTCAAAGTTAAGCCATTGCTCAGGGGGCCGGTGGGCAGCTCCAGGGCCATATGTCTAATCTGACCGCATGTGGAAAGGAGTTTGCCATATTTGGCAATTAAAAGCTAAAAAGAGTGGAACTGTCTCCTGAGGATGAATTAAAGCTGCAGATTCAGGGCCTTTTAAGAGGCCAGCATGGGACAGGTGTTAACAAAAGTCTAGTGAGAGGGGAGGGATGGATGAAGGGGTCCGAACAAGGTGTTCTCACCATCTCACCACTCAGTCAGTGCGCAGCCTGCATACTTAATCTACAAATACAAACAGTGTTGACACTTTGAACCTAATGCCGCTCTTTTTCAGCCAAACTGCCCGTAAGGACTTGTTAGGGGAAATGAAGGTGGCCAATAACTTTTGTCCTGTGCCAGTACATAAAGACAATGAAGACTGTTAAAAGCAAAGCACTTATCCACTGCAGAAGTGGAAACTGACATGTGGGCACTCCAATTTGCGATGGAGGGCGTTTACACAAACACACAAACACAAGGCTTGGATCAGTTTGTCACATAAACATGAAGAATGTGACAGAGGCATGGCATCAGGATTTCTGGACCGGGAAATAAATAACTTCACTTTGAGGGGACTTATCTCATCTCGGCTGTTTCCCCTAACATGAGCTTATCATAAAAGTTTATTGGAAGCTTGTCTAACAGATGCCTGAGTCGATTATTGCAGAAATGACTTGTATTGTCCCAACATGGCCTCTTTCAAGTGAAACCACAAAGTGCAGCTCATTCTCTAAGATGTTTACTATTTATGATGCTGTCACGATAAACTCTGCTGCTGACAGATGAGGGGTCTTTCCCCCTCAAGAACAGAAGTCGCCCCCTGTAGGAGGGTGGAAGTTACTACAGGACAAAAAGGAAATACATTTTACACCAATGTTCCTTTCTGTTCAGGGGTCTACAAAAGACGGAAAGTGGTCGAGTTTTGAAAGAAAAAAGGGGCTCAGTTATATAATAACTGCGAACGGATATAAATCCTCCTGATTAAACGACTACAGTGCTTCTCTAGCCATGTTCTCTCTGCAGACGGTTTCCTTTTGCAGGTCCGGAAGCACATAAATTCAACACCGTTCTGAGAGATCAATGACACAATGCATTTGGGTGAAGAACACAGAATGTAAACAAATAACTTTTTTACTAGAAAACAGTTTATTTATTCTCTCACCTGTGAGACGTCGTAGGCGATGTCTGCAGAGACACCAGTGCTCCACAGCTTCTGGACAACATTGATGGCTCTGGACATGGAAGAGTGTCCCACTGGGACCACCAGCGCATCACAGGAGCTGACTGAGGGCTGATGGAATGCAAAAACAGAGAATGTAAAGAACAGAAAGATATTGAATAATGCAGTATCTTATTGTCTTCAGATCTACCCACAGTTTTCTTAGGCACATCATTTCACATTTGAAATAAAAATAGAGAACACGATAATGACAATAGTCATAGCGATCATAGTTATTAACATGTTTGTAAAAGTGGCTGTGTGGCGGCCGACTGCTATAATAAGGCATACTTAAATATGTAGCTGTCTGCTGCGCCTTCATTACAATAATTAGGAATGATCCCAGTGGGTGTGTGTGTGTGTGTGTGTCTCACCGGCTCCTCCATGTTGGCTATAGCTGCACAGACTTTGTCCAGGGCCACGCTGGCCCCCACTGCAGAAGGCACCGGCACCGTGGAAGCTGGCCCACGAAACTCCAGGATCTAGCAGCACAGAGAACAACAGACAGAACATAGACTGCATCATATGGATTTAATTGAATTCAGACCGAAGAGGTATGAAGAAAAATGGAAGACACATTTTTCAAGTATTGGCTGCAGATTTTTGTCATGAAAGTCACTAGTGCGGCACGGATAAACGCCAGTAAAACCCACCAGGTGGTCGTAGCGTCCTCCAGCTGCCAATATGTCCGGCACAGTTCGCTTGCGCTTCCTGATGAAAGCCACAAACTGGAAGATGATCCCACAGTGATGCTGCACCTTGTATACCAAGCCTAAGTTAACCACCACCTATAGAGAAGATACACATGTTTTAAAAGGAAAGAGAACATACACTTTAACCTCCATTCACCTAGAATGTGTGTGTTAACACCCCACACACACAGACACTCAAATCCAGCACCAGACACTTTTTTTACGCTGCTATGGACAGTCTTGCACTAATGTACATTTTTAAAGATATTGAAGTGACTGTTATTTTTGTATATATTGATTGTTGTGCTTTTATATAGGTCTTAAAGGTGGGGTAGGTCATTTTGGAGAAACCAGCTCGAGTGCGCTAGAATTTGAAAATACACAGCCGGAACAAATCTGCCACTTCCTTACAGAGCCCCTCCTCCAACACACACGAACGCGCACATGACCAATGAGGGCACGAGATAAGTTTGTGCACAGATGGAAGGCTGACAGGCAGGTAGGCCATCCAGTTATTTTAGCCAGGCCGGCTAAAATGATTGGTCGTGCTTTTTACAGTACTGCTTCCACAGATGACATTTTGTAATTTTTATACGAATTTGCATACATATTTTTATATATATATTAGTTTTTGTATTCGGGATTGTGGAAAACGATATTTCGATCTCTCTGTCTGTACACATAAATTTAAAGATTGACAATAAAGTTGACTTTGACTTTGAATCCAAATCACCGGCAGTTTGACTCCCAGTTTCCTCAGCAGCACCGTGAGCTCCTCCAGGTCCTTGAGGCCCTGCTTGGCCAGCTGGGTGACGGCGGTCTTCTGTTTGGTGAGTGATGTCAGCAGTGGAGCCAGATCCTGCAGATTCCCCTTCTGCACTATGTACTTGTACAGCGTCTGCAACTGGAGGGATGTCTGAGTTTAGAACAAGTGAGCTGCTGCTGATTATTTTTACAGCAGGTCCTCGTCCATCCCAGGTCTGACACTTACGCTGTTGGTCGGCAGGGAGAAGTTACAGAACTTTGCCTCCACCTCACGTTTGGTCAGCTTTTCACTCTGGGGAAGACACAGAAACAAAAGGAATGCATTAACACTATTATATATGCTCATGCTAGCGTTTAGGCAACAGTCACGCACTGTGAATAACATCTGTGATGCACGTGTGACCTTCACTGACCATGGCTTCACACAGTATGGAGGAGGCCTGGCTCAGCTTGCCCTCAGGGACTCCGCTGTGGAGCAGGATGGCATTCAACAAGCTGGTGTGGTTCAGGTAGATGTTGTAGTTCCTCTCCTGCGGGTGCCACACACACACACACACACACACACACACACACACACACACACACATTATTGTAGTTGAGTTTTGACAGCACCCATCAAACTAGATGTTTTGCCTTAATGGTCTGTTTTCTAATATTTCTGTGTTTCTGAACCACGTCTGTGTCTGCATATAATGTTCGNTTAGTGTTCAGGGTTTCCTGAGGTAGCAGGATATTAAGGCGGCTGCTGATTGCAGCCTCACACTATGTGTGTGTTTGCGTGTGCTGATGCAAATAGTTGGGTAATTAGTGTTTGCGTGCAAGCGCGGACATGCGTGTTTTGTGTGTGTGTGTGTATGTGTATGTGTGTGTGTGTGTGTGTGTGTGTATGTGTATGTGTGCACGTGTGTGTGTGTGTGTGTGTGTGTGTGTGTGTGTGTGTGTGTGTGTGTGTGTGCGTGTGTGAGTGTGTGTGTGTGTGCGTGTGCGTGTGTGTGTGTGGCGCTCACACGAAGGTCGTAGGGCAGTGTGACCAGCATTCCACTGTGATCCATGAAGCAGGCCAGCTCGCTGCCATCATACAGCTTCCTGTTCCTGGGGAGGAGAAGCGGTGTCTGGAGGCGCACCGCACCTGAGGAGGAACATCATGTATTACTGCAACATCTGCATAAGATAACACAACCCTCGGCCGAAAAAGAGATGATGCGTGTGAGTAAAAACAAATAAGGACAGCTGGACATCATCAGCAAAAAAAAAACACTAGCACCTGCACATAATCTGCTCTTCCCCACGGTGCACTTATTGTTTTGCTGCCACTCTCTGGAGCAGATGTTGGGGTTCAGAAGAACGTGCTCACAATGGGTCAGGAGTCCAAGTGGTTGGCAGTGGAGAGTCAACAGAGGCTCACACGCACACTCATCAAACAACCATAGTGTACTCACCATGCTTCTTGAAGATCCTGGTGATTGTTTCATAAACATGCTGCTGCAATTTGGCACTATTGAAGCTGAAGCTGCCCTGGAGGGAGAGCAAACAAACAGCCTCTGTTAGGGATCAGGAGACATGGAGTAAGCACTACCAGGCCTTCTGCTGGCCGCCATACAGGCCAGATGAAAGGAAGCACTGGTGAGTGAGTGTAGCCATTCAGATGTCTGGAGTGACATCTTCAGGTGGTGAGGGGTAACTTCAAGAGTACATAAAGTGGCTTTTCATATGGTGTTCTGTTTTGAAATGGTACAAATATCTGGAACAAACTCTCAGAAAACTGCAGGTCACTCCAAGTCTCACTTCTTTTAAATTAAGGATGAAGACTTTTCTGCACACTGCTTCATTTTATTAAATAAAATAACTATTCATAACTGACACTGCACTGTACCTTTTATTCTTGTATTTTCTTTATTTACTTGACCTATCCTGTTTTAGTTTGCTTTATTTGTATTTATCTTGGCTTTTTATTGAAAAAAATGTCACTGTAATTTTATTATGCGTTTCTGTTGCACAACGTTTTAACGCTCTTAATGTTTTTGGTAAAAGAAATTGAAATTGCCTCGTGTGGAAATGTACTATAAATAAACTTGCCTTGCCTTCACACTTACATTCACCATATATCCAAAATACATATGCCTTCTATAGAAATATAAATAAAAGTACTTACTATGCATCTACGTTTTTAATTCCCTAAATACCACACATCATATATCCTTCTTAAAATAAATACGTGACACCAGTCAAAATATACTAGAACCACACCTTGTGCAGGTCTATGTCGTAGGTGTAATCCATGACCGGGGAGGTGTTCTGGGCGAACAGCTGGCCCACCATGGTGCGGTAGGATTTGCCGTTGATATTAGCCATGGTATGCTGCAGCACCTCGTGCAGCTCCGACTCCTCCATCTGTGGGGGGGGCAGCAGCTCGCTCTTCAGCAGCTCCTGGGCGGTGGGCCGCAGGGCCGGGTCGTGGTTCATCAGCCACTCTATCACTTTCCTCTGAAAGGAGTCACAGCCAGCAGCCCTGATTGTTAGACTGAGAACTCAGAGAAAAAGGCTTCATATCAAAATGCTACAGCGTCCTACCTGTGTTCCTTGCTCATATTCAGTAAAGTCCTCAGGAAAGATCATGAGCTCCTGCATCGTAGAAAGAAAAGAGTTGAGGTCAGTCACAGGCAAGTTATAAATTCCCACGCAGCCAAAATAATTGACATGGGCTGCAGTGGAACAGTCTTTTTTTGCTTAGGAAGTATCAAAGTGGCGGTCATAACAGCTGTATGAATGATCTCATTACTTAGGAAATGTGCTTCAATGCTTCCATTCTTTTCTCCTTTAGCATAGAGTAGACTGGCATGTCTTTTACCTTGGACAACCAAGAGAAAGTTCTTTGCAACAATTCCATGCGGCAGCCCCACATACATAGCATCTGCCTTACATTATTCAGTTGCCTCGTGCAAGTCAAGTTAGATACTGTTGTGTATGTTTTTATAAAGTCCTTATGAAGTAAGGAAAGACAGACAATGTCATTTTTTTCACTTTACGACTCCAGCAAAAATCGCTATCAGTCCTGAACATGAACGTACCGCACGCAGCTGGCTCAGGACAGAGATGCGCTCGGACCCTGTTGTCATTGGACGGTAGGACATCTCAAACAGGATAATGCCCAGGCTGAAAAGATCAACTTTCTGAGGACAAATAGAAAGGATAAATATCAGACACCTAAAAGTCTTGTGCTACAGGAGCGCAGCAAACTATGCAACTAAGATGGAGAGACAGTGGTCACATGGAGACAACTGCAAAAGCTCAAATAACGTCTATATTTCAATACAAATCTTACTTGGTTGTAGGTGGCTTTGGTGTTTCCTTGAACCTCCGGACTGACGTAGAGCGCAGTACCAACCATGCCTGTCATGTTACCTGTAGAATAGTGATGCAATGTGTCAGGGAAGAACATGAATATCAATCAAAATAGCATTAAATCATGGGAAGTTTTTCAAACTCTCTGCACCTGTTGGATCTGGTTTGGGCATCACTGCTGAGCCGCTCTCCTCCACTTCAAATTTGCCTGCAGCCTGAAACAGTAAAGCAGTATGCATGTCATATTGATGCGTAATCTAGTGTTATGAGCTATTAACCTAGGCGATTAAACATAGTGACACTGTTTTACATAACTCCACAGAGCGGCCTGTCTGTAGAGTGAAGCTGTTAGGCTAATACACACCACATTAGCAGGGTGGTCCGTAGCCAGGCCAAAGTCCCCAATCTTCACGTGGTCCTGTGAGTCGAGGAAGATGTTGACAGGCTTCAAGTCCCTGTGAATCATGCCCTAATGGAGAGGATTCATGAAAAGATCTGCTCAGTCATGCGTAATTAAAAACATGGCTTCCTTATTACTGCTATTACCATACAAAATGCAACTTGGATATAAAAGTGTGATACTAGCAAGTTACGGGACACTTGCAAATGGTCTAATTATTTTTTAAACCATGCTTAGAACTTAAACACATACACACACAGATAAAACACCTGCTCGTGGATGTAAGCAATCCCATCCAGTATTTCCCTGAAGAGTCTCGCTAAACGATTCTGGTCCTGGTGCAGGCCTTGATCTATTGTGTCCCTTAAAGTGCTTTTTTGACAGTATTCCATCTGGTGGAAAACAGAAAACCGGCATTAGATAGGAGGCAGTGACCTCTAGTGGTAGAGAATGGAGTATGATGGTGAAGCTTACTTGTATGTATAAGTGATGAGCTATGATGAGGGGTTGGTCTGAGTCTGTGGTGTCCCCTGCGTCTGTTACAGGCCTTCTGATTGGCTCAACCTGCAAGAGGAGTCTGTTAGTTGCACTATGGACAAATACTAATGAATAATAGATAAAGTGTAAATATTCAAACCTGTGACATATCTTCTGTGTTTTCATCTCCATTGTCAAAGATTATGTCGCTACTTGAATCACTGTCTGAAGGTCTAAAAGAAAAAATGTGAAGTGTTGAGAGTTTGTGCAGTAGAAAGTATTGCTTCACGTTATCCCTAAAAAAAACACTTACAAAAAAGAGGCACCAAAAACATCTTCTTCTTCATCCTCATCATCCTCTTCATCACTTGACTGGTCCCTGCTACATTTGGCGCTGGAGGACCTCTCGATGGAGGTGGACCACTCCACGGAGCTGGACAGGGCCGGGAGGGGCGCAGCGTCCTCCACGTTGTCGGCGAGGCCCAGCTCGTTGATGGGCTTCGGGGACTCTTTGCGCTTGGGGGGCTTCTCGTTGGAGCTCCAAGGCTCGGAGCTGTCGGTGTTGCTCAGCATGCCTCCCGAGGGGGTCTCGTGCCGCTCGATCCACGCATTGTAGTAGCGCACGATATTCTCATGGTTAAGGCGTGAAAGAAGCGTCACCTCGCCTTTGATTCGTCTGAACTGTTTACTGGCCGGGTTGACCAGGATGCGCTTCACAGCGTAGTAGCAACCGTCGAGGTTATTCTGAACCTGGAGTTGCAGGAGAGGGAAAGTGGAAGGGAAAAAGTGAGATCAACAGACAGTTTACTCGCCAGTGTAACATCATCCAAAAAAGCTTTAGGGCCTACCTTAATTACAGCACCTACCTTAATTACAGCACCAAACGCCCCCTTTCCAAGAAGCTGGAGTTCCTCAAACTCATTGAAGTAGCGGGAAAACTGCCTCTGCACCCCGGTGCTGAACGGAGCGTGGAGGATGTGGTTCTGCGGGGTGACTGATGATGGGAAGTCCACAACAGGATCTGAGATGACGGAAGAAGAAAAAACATGACAACGATTAGATAGTCGTGATGGAGAGAGCTTATGACATCATAACTATAGGGGTGGGATCAGCTGCATATCATTAACACACTATACAATGATTGTGCAGAAAATAGACACACCTGTAAAATGCAATGTAAAACATTCCATTAACAGTTATACTATTATTAAGTATTAATGTAAATATATGCTGCGAGGAAAGGAAATACCTTTATATTGATAGGAAAATAAGGAATTTAAAGATGCTTTTTGTGGCGCGAATGTTTTACTAAGATCTGACAAAAAGGTTCAAGTTGTCTCTGATTTGTTTGTAATTGTTTGACTCTACATTATATGTTGCTCTGGTAGAATATTTTGCTTTAATTGAGCTAAATTTACCTAAATGTTTCTTATATTTTATCCAACTCATGTACAAATAGTGTATGGGCGTGTATATCACCTTCTGGGCTGTCAACCCGGTGCTGTGGCAGGTTTTTGGGCGAAGGAGGCTTGAGGAAGGAGTGTTCTAAAAGCTGCTGAGTTGTCCAGCGATCAGCATCATTCAGGCACACACACCTGTGACAAAAACACATACAGTATTATAGACGCTTTAACTAAAATGTCTATTTTTACGAATCCACATTGTGCTTTGCTGTCAACATAAAGCAGTAGAGCCATATTAACAAGAAGGAAAAGGTCTAAACATTGTAAATGAAACATAATGTTATGAATGTAAAACAACTTAAATTTGAAAACATTATTTAAACAGCCAGCAAAGAGGAAGACGGACATCTATAAACATCATGGCCCAAAGGATGATTTAGCATATTAACAACAAATCCAGATGCTTCACAATACTGCCATACATTTTCCAAGGCCCACTCCTCAGTTCTGAATGTGTTCCACTTTTCCAGGCAGTCACTGTTTTCCCTTTGTGTGTGTACGGCATGAAAATCTACCCGAAGAGACACAAAACTTTGCTGGCAACTATTTCAGTAATCAGTTAACTTGCTGCATTCCTGGTCAAATATCTGACCTGAACCAAATTAAATAATTCGGGGCTTTGGACTAATTGTTGAACAAAACAATCTAAAATATCATAATGGCCATTTTCTCACAGATTGCTGTTGTTTCATAGATCAAACAAACTATTGCATAAAATAATCATTAGTTGAAGGTCTATTTCATTGAATGTAAGGTTTGCTTCTGTCAGTCGGTTGTCAGGAAAACAAACAAATCTTTCATTTAAAACAAATCTCTGGAAAATGGTCAGGACTATTCAAAAGCATTTAGTACACAGAGTACATGACTTATAGCAAATTGTCTTAAATACTATTATACTCCTTTAAGAAGCTGGTAATGTATCCATCAATACATACTTATGGAAGAAATCCTGGAAGTCAGCAGGCAGGCTGGCTGGCACTGTCACTGGATACTCCTGCACCTCCTTCCCCTGACTCAGACCCAGCAGCATCAGCCCCAAGTTCCACACGTCCCCTTTTTTGCCCGTTTTCGTTGGCATCGACGTATCCTCCGAGAATCGCACGTGGGCTTGCTCGAAAATGTCTTCTTTGCAGATATCGGCGAATCTCTTGGATAAGCTGTAATCGGTCAGTCGTACGTTTCCCTCGGAGTCCACCAGCACACTGGAGGCCCCCAGCTGTTTGTGGACCACGGAGTTGGAGTGAAGGTAGTCCAGGGCAGCCAGAAGCTGGGCCGTGTAGTGGCACAGTTTGTCCAGAGGGACCGGGGTTTGTGTGACAAGGCTTTGGGTCAAGTTGACGCCAGCCACATGCTCCACCAGCAGGTTAACCACGAGGCAGTCCTCCTTCTCAGTGGAGCTCAGCGCCATGTAGCGCACCAAGTTTGGATGATCCAGCCGCAGGAGGGAGTTGAACTCGTTTTCGGCCCCATGGATCTACACAGTAATTCAGAAGCATGGTTTAGTACTTCAAACCACCAATCAGAATCAGAATACCTTTATTAGTCCCACAGAGGGGACATTTACATTGTTACAGCAGAAAAGAGCCAAAGACAGTTTAATGTTACCTAAGAAGCTTGCATAAAAAAGTATTAAAGATTAAAAAAGTATAATAAAAAAAGTTCTGAGGATCTAGCAGCCAGGCATATATTGCACAGTTATTACCGGCATATATATATATATATATTGCACAAAGAAAGATTACTTAAGGACTATTTTCCAGGTTTTCCTGATCTTAAAAACAGTTGAATACATTATTGAACCACTAAATAATAATAATAATAATAAGCTTATTTATTATAATAATAATAATAATAATAATAATAATGGTTTATTTATTATAGCACCTTTCACAGAAATAAAATTTCACAAAGTGCTTCACAGTTAACAACAAAAGTTCAAATTAAGACCACGGAGACATGAATACAATAACCACATGAGGCAGACATTTTTAAGGTCAACCTTAAAAACATAACACAGACCACGTGGAGTCCAAAACTAAACTCTTAATGATAACATCTGCTTTTATTTTACTTGCCTGCTTTTTGCAGTTATCAATCCTTCCTTTCTCCAGACTGGTGAGAAACGTGCCCATCTTCTTGTTCCATTGAAGCGACCACTCGTAGATCACAGTAAAGTCTCCAGAGTTTTCCTCAAATCCATAATAAACGTTACGCCGGAGCCTCTCGCTCACACCTGTCACAATCAGAAACACACAATAGCACACACACAATAACACTCATGCCAACGGTTAACAGGTGGATTAAGCAACTTTGGACTGAAGTAGCTGCATCCTCTCAGACAAATCTCACCTAAGCTTTTCCCTCTGTGGACAACAAGATCTCCAAAGGCGCTGCTGGAGAAGTGAAGAAGCTCTTGGGAGCGAGGGATGTCGTCATTAACTGTGTCACGTCTGGGTAAACGGATACACAAGTCAGCCTTATTTCAATGTTTCTTTAAAACGAGAAGCATCAGCTGGATTGCTGTGTACCTGTGGCGTGTACCGGAGGTAGTCCGGCGGCGGTTATTGGTGGCTCTCTTGCCTTCCATCAGTTCAGGAGGAAATCCGCTGGGGCTGGGTGGGCTCTTCCCTAACAGGGGGGAGTGAGAAGGGACTGGCTGATCCAGACTCTCAAGACGCTCCTGTGAATATTAACGCCATTAACAAAAAGCCAATCACAACACCAGTTTTGCTTAATTTATGTTTCTGCAGGGGATATGAGATAAGTTTTTCTATAAACACCTGTTTGGCAATCTCCTTTCTTCTCTTTTCTTCTCGTTTCTCATCCTCTCTTTTTTGGATAACAGCCATGATCTCTTTTTCCTAAAAGAACAAGAAAAATCTCAGTCAACATCCTGTTCGACTGAAACTTCCGTCGGTTGTCTTGGTTTTTTCATACAGGGTGCATAGTTTGTAGGGCTGCAACGATTAGTAGAATGACGGAACCACAACTATCTGGATAATTCATAAACCCTTAAAGTACATTTTCATGCAAAAATCCATCTTCAAACCTATGCCAAAGTTAGAGGTCTTTAAGCAAAGGAGATCCAATAGGGTGTCAAGCAGAAGTATTTTGTACTGCATTTTCATATGTAGTCAGATCAGATACACTCTTACATCATGAATTTCTGCTTCTTATTCATGGATTAGCTCTACTTTAGTTTCACTGTATAGCTCCCACAAGATAAAGTTTGTGATCTTTTGTGAGTGGGCCAACCAAATCACTTTAATTTTAAGTGCAAGACGATGTTATATTATAACACAAGGCACAGCATGAAGGGTTTTATCTATACTCCTAACCATTTCCTCCTCCTGTTTGCGCCGTTGGTCCATCTTCTGCTGCTTCTCCTGATCTCGTATCTCCTGCTGTCTCTGCAGGTTCTTCAGCATCTCCTCATGGAAGGAGCTTGACGGAGGCTTGTTGTGCTCGCTCAGAAAGCCCTGGATGTAGTCTGCCAGTTCGTAAATCATCACCTGGTGGACAGGTAGGTAGGGGTAAAGGTGGTTGTTGTATATACTTGTATCTAGGATTGCAAAATTCCGGGAATTTTCAAAGATGGAAACTTTCCATGGGAATAAACTGGGAATTTTCAAAATTGAAGGTTGGCTCTTCATAGGGAACTTAAATATAGTTGGGGAAAGTATATTTAGCATAAATCTTGGACAAAACAAACAGATGCCATTCAAAGTAAACTTGAATATCCATGCAATAGCACACGCTTACTGCATGCTATTGAGACCACTGCTGGTTGGCATCGGGCAAACCTAAGCTCTCGAGCTGACACAGAGGCCTCCTCCACAAA